AGAGAGTAGAGAGAGAGAGGTAGAGAGAGAGAAAAAGAAGAGAGAGTGTGTGGAAAAGGTAGAGGGAGAGAGAGAGAGAGGAGCGGATGTAGGATGCGATGCGATGAGCGTGGTTGGTAGGTCCAGGGATGGGCGGTTGGCGGCAGCGGCAGCGGCGGCCGATGCACAGAGAGCGGGGAGAGGGGAAGCCGGCTGGCCCCCTGACCGCGGGTGTCGCCTCCCTACTCGGCGAGGAGCAAGAGGAGAGAGCGAGGGGATGGATCAAGGGCGATGGAGCTGAAGGTCGCCCGGGAGCGTTGGTGTTGGTGGTGGGGGTGGTGTTGGTCGAGGGTGGTGGTGATGGTCGCTTGCCAAAGAGGGCGTGGCGCGCGCGGCCGAGGACGGCGTGTTGGTTGGCCGTTTGCCCGATGAGAGCAATTCAAGTTCCTCTGGTTGCCGTCGAGGCTCCTTTTTTCCCACTCGACTCGAAGACACAAAGAGAGGCAGGCGGGCAGGCGGCAAAGCCTGCAGGGCCGACGCAAGCAGGCCAGGCAGGCAGGCAGGCAGCCTACGCGTCCGTTGGCACGGGTGGGGGCCCTGGCAGAGTGGCGCGCCGAGCGTTTGTTGGCAGAGTCGAGAGAGGAGGTGGCGAGGATGGCGAGTGCGGCGACCAGAACAAGACGAGAAGAAGCACAACGACGACGACGATCTCGACGACGAAGAAGATGACGGCGGGCGGATGGATGGATGGATGGGGGAATGCCTGGAATGGGCAGGATGGCAGACCAGCAGGCAGGCATTCCGGGCCGACCTGACCAACACGGCTCAAAGTTACGACATCAGCCAGGAGGGCAGCCCCGCAGGCCCCGCCAGCCGGCCAGCAGGTGTTGGTCGGCCACCCAACAGGCAGCAGGGCAGGCGGGTCGGGGCTCGTGTGCCTGGATCGCAGGCGGGGGACCCTCGCCTCGCTCTCTCTCTCGCCTTTGCTTGCTTGGCTTTGGTGGGCCGCCAAGCAAAGCGTCACCCGCGGCCTTGAGGGAGAAAAAACCAAGAGGCAGGCCGGCCCAGGCTAGGCAGGGTGCCTGCCCGCCCGCCCGCGCGCCCGCCTGGTCGTCTCGAGGGCCAAGGTTCAACCTGGGGCCTCTGTTTCATCCGTCTTCGTCGTCGTCGTCGTCGTCGTCGTCGTCGTCGTCGTCGTCGTCGTCGTCGTCTTCGCCGCCTGCCTGCTGCCGTCGTCTCGATGGCGCGGCTCTCGATCAAACCATCGACCCGGCATCCGCCCAATCCGCCTCCTCTAACGGCATTGGCTGCGTTGCCGCCGCATCGACCGGCCGGCCGTCGGATGTCCTGTCCTGTTCTTGATTGCCTGCCAGTCCAGCCTTGTTGACGAGGCTTTCCATCCGCCCGACGCTCGCTCGCTCGCCGACCATCAACCGGACTGCCTTGGGCTCGCAGTCGTCGTTGCACGCGAGGCAGGCCACGGCGGGGGTGCGGGTCGAATCGTGGATCGGGCTCCGATCGAAGGGATTGCCCGATGAAAAAGAAGGGGACCCGCTGCTCTGGCCAAGCGTGCGTTGGTGCCGCCCGCCTGGCTTAGCCAACAAAGACGTACGTTTGGCCCTTGTGGAGGTTGGACAGGCTCTGTGCCCCGCCGCCGCCTCTGAGCGGGGCCTCGAAGTGCTCTCTGTCGTTCCTTCCTTCCTTCGGCGGTCCTCGGCCTCTCCGGCTCCCACCAACCACCATCCTCACTCAGCCACGAGCGAACGTCCTAACCGCCACGTCTTCTTCCCCCAATCGCAGTCGCACCCACAAGCTCGCCCTTCCGACCACCAACCCTCACGCCGCTTCGCAGCTTCCTCGGTCGTCCCGTCATCGCCGCTGCCTGCAACCTCGTCGCTTGGCAACCGCAAGCCACCCCTCAATCGCCCTCACCCCCCTTCAATCACCGCCTCGATCCCCGGCCCGGCCCGGCCCGACCCACCCACCATGCTCGGCCACGCATCCCGCCAGGCGGCCGCCGTGCCCCTCCGCTCCTCGTCAGCACCTCGCTCCCTGTCCCCCCTGCTCCGCACACAGCCACACACTGCCGCCGCAGCTCGAGGCCGCTTCCTTCACTCCCGCCCATCCCCGTCCTCGTCCTCGTATACCCAGCCACCCCGCTCCCAGGCCCTCTTCTACTCCGTCGCGCTCGGCGCCGGCGTCGCCTGCTGGTGGGCCACCTCCACCACCGTCCACAACGATGTCGCGCAGTCAGTCGCGACCGAGGCAGACATCACCCTCACCACACCCTCACAGCAGGACCAGATGCGCCAGCGCGCAATCAACCAGGGCGTCTACGCCTGGGGCTCGAATCGGTGCGTTTGCCTGTCCTCCCCGTCTCTCCTGCGCTCCTCACGCCTACGCCGTTCGCCGCTCCTCTATCCAACCGTGCGCGCGCTGACACGCTGTTGCAATCCTTTTGGGTCACGTCCCAACGTCCAACCCGGGTCTCCTGGCTTCTCATTGGCCCCTCCACGGTCGCCACACCCTGCAGGTACAATGTCGTCGCGCCCGATGCGCCCCAGGTCACCCTCGTCCGCTCCCCTCGCTCCATCCCCTTTTTTGACGGCGTCGCGCTGCGCGACATTGCCCTCGAGGAAAAGCACGGCGTCGCAGTAGACGCAAACGGAGACGTCCTCCAGTGGGGGCTCGGCTTCTTTGACCCGGCCTCGCGCCAGTCGACCGCAATCGAAGACGTGCCCCTCGGCCGACGCCGCGAAAAGGTCTACGCCAACGCCGTCGCCCCCGTCGGATCCATGGCTTCCCAGCCCCTCTTGCCCGTCCGCACCCTCGTCGGCAAGGACATTGTCAAGGTCACGGCAACCGAGGACAAGGTCTTTGCCCTCTCCAAGGACGGCAAGGTCTACGCCTTCTCGGCCGTGCAGCAGCTCCAGGCTCCTCGCAAGCCGGCATCCTGGAGCGCCAACCCGCTCTCGCTCTTTGGCCTCCTCTCGGCCTCGACCATCGACCACGAGATCCTGCAGCCCGCGCCCTCGTCGGCCTTTGCCAGCGGCGAGCGCGTCGTCGACGTGGCCGTCGGCAACAACCACCTCCTCGCCCTCTCGACAAAGGGCCGCGCCTTTTCCATGCCCATCAACGCCGACGGCAACAGCTTCGGCCAGCTCGGCGTCCGCCGCGTCCTGCTCAACTCGCCCCGCACCCCAGACACCAAGCCCGGACACACCGAGGCCCTGCTCGAACCCAAGCTCTTTGCCGAGCTCGAGAGCGACTCCGGCCGACCCGCCGCATCGCTCATGGACGCCAACGCCCTGCCTCCTCCGTCGACCGAGAGCGGGCGCACCTCGAAGCCCTCGGCCGACGCTCCCGTCCAGACCGCCTCGGACCCCACGCCGGGCGCAAAGCCTCTCACCGAGTCCCCGGCCAGCATCCGCTACTGCACCACGCTGCACGAGATCCCCGCGCTCAAGAACATCAACATCGCTCAGATCGCCGCGGGAGCCGAACACTCGCTGGCCCGCACCCACGACGGCCGCGTGCTCGCCTGGGGCCGCCAGACGCACGGCCAGGTCGGCCTGGGCTCGCAGGTGGCCATCGAGTGCGTGCCCGTGCCCTCCGAGGTCGTCCTCACCCGCTCCTTTCCCAACTCGAGCTCCGAGGTCAGGGCAACGTCGATTGCCGCCGGCGGCGACAACTCGTTCATCATGACGACGCGGCGCGAGCCCGGATCGCTCGGCATGGGCCTCAAGATCGACCTCCTCGCCGTCGGAAAGGGTCAGTGGGGCACTCTCGGAAACGCAATGTGGAGCCAGGTCGCCTCGCAGCCGGCGCGCGTCAAGACCGTCTCTGGACTGATGGAATGTGAGTCGGCGCGGCCAAGCTCGTAGCCTTCCTTGGTTAGCTCGCGTACTGACCGATCCGCTCGCCGGCACTCCCTTCTCCCCCATCACGATGCGGCAGTCTCGGAGCTGACGAACAAGACGTGAGTGCCCTGCCCTGGCTCCTGACCGCCGACCACGGTCGTCGCTTTCTGACTAACCCGTCCCTCCCCTCTCGATCGCAGCCACCCGGTACCGATCTACTCGCTGAGCATCGGCAAGCCAGGCCACTGCGCCCTGGTGCTCGACACGGTGGAGGCGGCGGGCCACGCCGCCTTTGGCCGCGACGTGATGGTGTGGGGCGCGAATGCGGCCTTCCAGCTGGGCACGGGCAAGCGATCCAACCTGGCCGTGCCGCAGCACCTCAAGCCCCTGCCCCCGCTGACGCCGCGACCGGGTCTCGACACCGACGCCGCCGCCGCCGACGCTGCCGCCGCCGCGCTGCTCGCACCGGCCGACCCGTCAGCACAGAAGCTGCGCGAGGCCGACATCAAGAGCGGCGCCCTGACTCACATGCCCCACAATCGTCTCCAGCTCGCCAGCAAGACAAAGGCCGACACCCGCATCCCTGCCGCCGTCGAGACCATCAGCCAGCAGCAGCAGCCGTCGCAGAAGAACGCCGGTAAGGTCAAGAAGAACCAGACGGTCGAGGAGACGATCAAGGCCGGTACGGTTTCCACAGTTGTATTCTGGAAGGTCGAGCCGTGAGAGGCCGCCCTTGCTGTCGGCTTTCCCCCTGTTGTCGTTGGACTGTCGCAAAGAGATCTGTATTGCCGTTGCAGGAATGCTCCGCTTTGGTGTCACTGTGTGCTCGTCTGATGGTCCAACAGCGTGAGGACAAATGCAGGGTGCGAGGACACAGAGGCAAAGGCACCCTTCCAAGCCGGCATCGAGATTCTTCATGGCCCCCTGCCACTTAGAGTTAGAAGGTGATCCCCAAACAAACAGGGTAGGGCCTCTTATTGAAAGTTGTAGATATCAATGAGGAGATCAAAAGCTTGGCTGAGCCCTACGGCAAGTGTCTTGGCCGTTGCTGAGAAAAACAGCCGGAAAGTTTTCAAAAACGAGTCAAAAACGACCAAAACACGCTGCCAAACCTGCCAGAGTGTACCAGCAGCCCATCTGAACGGTCCAATCTGTCACAGCTGCCTCAGAAAGGATACCAGTGAAGTCTCAGGGCATGTTGATAGGAACAAAGTCGAAATACCCTGGGAAAGGGGTGTCAGACAGAGCGTTTTCGCTCAGAAATCGGCAGAAATGCGACATATTGGCGTCGAAGGGGAGCGCCACCCCTCCTCAGCCTATATAGAAAGAAAGCCGCTGCCAAAGGCTACCCAACGCTGCAATCAGATCAACATTCCACCGCAAGGATGGGGAGAAATGGCAGAAGAACAGCTTCTACCCGCCTTCAATCCTTGCCCCAGCAGCAATTGCTCAGTCCACAGCGGTCCAATCTGCCAGCAGTCTGTACCATTTGAAAGCTGCAGTCAACAGCTTGGGTTAGGGTTAGAAGGTGATCCCCAAACAAACAGGGTAGGGCCTCTTATTGAAAGTTGTAGGGTTAGGGTTCCAAAGACCCCTGGCGCTTGCTTGACTGCCGCGTCGCTCGTCTCTGCTGGCCGGAGTGGACCCTGACGGGCCGCTGCTGGCCTGCCAGACGCGCTGAGCGGGCCCTGGTAATTCCAAAAGGGAGTACAAATTTAGACTTTTAGCCGAGCTGGTGGACCCTGTGACTACAACTTGGGGACACTCATGACTACACCTGGACACAGCCCATTACAGTCCAAGGCGTACGTGCAACTACAACTTAGGACACGGGCAACTACAGTTGGTCTACGTGCGACTACAACAGGGGACACGGCCGACTACAGCCTGTGAGACGACTACATCCGCTGATCACCCCTCACCACCAACACGTCCATGCCAACCATTGCCGTCACAGCCATCCAGCCACCGGCTGCAGCACCACCTGGTCCATCCTCCCCGCCGTCACCTCCATCATGAGCCAGGTCGCCTGCCCAGTCTGCCAGTTTGCCATTGCACGCAGCAACATCACTGCACACATCCGCCGACAGCATGCTGGTGTGCCTGTCAGCCCAGAGGCAGCCGCTGCCAGAGGTCTGGTTGCCTGTGGGTGCGGCCAGGTTGTTCTCAGTGCTGCTGCGCTCAAGCAGCACCAGGGGATCAAGAAGTGCGGTGAAA